TTCCTTTGGCCATCGAACCTTATCTCCCATACTTCTCAAAACGGCTACGAGCTCAGAAGTGCTAATGTTAAAGTTGTAACCTCCAAACCTCGCTTTTGGACTTCTATCATCGTCTCGTGACTCATAATGGTTTCGCTCGTTCCTGAATCTTGATGAGGAACCTGCTTCTCTGTTCCTTGGTTTGCGATCGTGCCTTTGGTCGTCCTGTTTTGATCGTGAGTCTTTTCCCGCAGGTCCCATATAAGGCTCGTACCTATTTTTACCGGACCTTTTGTCAGTCTCTGCCCGTCTCGGACGTATATTTTCTTCTTTTTGAGATCGTGGAACAGTATCTTCCTCAATCCTCAACTTCGTACTATACCTGTTGTAAACATCATTCCACGTTGTAGCTGGGAATTCATGAAGGCTTTCCTTGAGCCTCCTCGTAGCTTCCGAACTTTTTTCATTCAAATTGCTTGTAAAGGCTATAGCTACCCAGTTGTCAGGTACACGCGGCAATGTCATTCTTTCATGTTGAAATCTGTCCACGAACTCTCTAAGCAATTCTGAATCTCCCTGCTTGATTTTGAAAATATCCTCCATTCTTTTTTCCACTTTTTGAGCTCCCGAGTGTGCTTTGATGAAAGACTCTGCAAGCTCAGCGAAAGAATTTATAGAATTTTCAGGTAGAAGAGAATACCATGTTAATGCTCCTTTGGTGAGTGTTTCACCAAATTTCTTGACTAGAACCGATTCAATCTCCTGCTTAGTCAAATCGTTTCCCTTTACACCCGTTGTGAAGGCAGTCACGTGGTCTCGTGGGTTTGTTGTTCCATCATACTTTGGAATATCAGACATTTTGAACTTTTTTGGGATTGGGAGCGGAGCAGCACTTGGCTGCCAGGGTTGTTGTGAATACCTATCCATGTCTACCCCCTTGATTATAGGTGGCACCCCAGATATCTGCTCTATGCGTTCACTTTGCTCCTTGAGCTGTTTCTGCAAGGTTAGTACTAAAGTTTGCAAATCAAAATTAATTGCATTACCTGGTTCTCCCTCCTGTGAGTTATTGGGGGCTCCACCACTGCCTGAGTTAACGAGCCCGGAACGAGGATTTTCTATAGTGTTATTATTTGGAGTTGGTGCGGGTGTTGCAACAGGTAACCGGTTAACAAGTGCCGCAACGGCTCTGTTGACCTGAGCAGTAATTAATTTTTGCAAAGCTTCATCAGCGGCTTCCATGTTTTGAAATTGAGCATACTCGTTTGTTTGAGATTCATCAGGAGAACCCTCGCGAGATTGTCGTGGAGAGTCTTGCGGAGCAGGAACTTGAACGTTGATATTTTGTGGATCTCCCTGACTTTGTTGGTTCTCTTGGTTTCCTTGAGTATTGACATTATTAGTCGACATAGTTGATGCAACAAGGAAGGTTAGGTGAAAAGAAAATAGATTATCAGATTCCCGGTAACGGAACCAATTTGTTTAACCAAAAAATAGAATTTAGGTCAAAGCTAGAATTTAGAAGAACACGAGTTACTGATAATCGAAAGAATGTAGAAATTGGCTTTCAACAATAACAAGATGAGCAGAAGAAAGCAAAGTAAATTAGTATATTCCAATAGTCTTCCCCGTCCTTACAAAAGCATTCTCCCTTTTATAATGGTTTTCTTGGAGATATGTTTATTGTCTTTGTCTTAATAAGACAATTATGAGCAATAAATGACAATAAAAGAAACGTTACTCAATCATTTATATTAAATACAAATTCTCTAACGTACTCAGTATTTAATGTATGTTAAATACTGAATTTGGACTCACATGCGTTGTCAGATTCATTTCCTTGATTCTTCTTGATGTTTGAGCTTTAAATGACTTAAATAGGTACGGGCGCCAAACTATTTGAATAACTATCCGTGCCTCTTTCATCACCTTCTCTCGTATCTGTTGTTGCTCGTGCCTCTTGGCTAATTATAATTCTTTGACCATTTGACTAATCCACGTGTCATGACAAGTCACCTCCAATATGCAAACTTTAATTTTACCCAATACAAGGAGTTAGCTAACAAACTGTGAGAACAGACTCGCTGTCTGCTTTCAACTCCGCATATGCTTCCTTAACGGGTATGTTATATCTGTCATAAAATGGATGACTTAAATGCCTTAAATAAGGTACGGAAACTTTAACTTGAAAAGAAGAAAAGGTACAGTCAACAAGCTATGAAAAATGCAATATATGATACCACTTGTTTCCCATTACTCTTCAAGTAGAAGATCCAATTTCATTATCCGTTTCTGTGGGTTCATTAGCGGATAGCTGAAAAAACAAAACGTTCAGAAAGGAGGCAAAGTAAGATTCTTAAAGATAAAAGTATAAGCAACTATGAAAAATTCACATACCAACTTGCAAAAAAGCATCAAGACAGTTTCTGTTTTTCGAAAAGGTAACTATAAATAGGACAGTTTCTTTGACCTTTGTTTTCTCTTGGGGG